GAAGCTATTCATATCCCGCCCTCCGAAATCGCTGTTGAGCTACACGGTAAGAGCATCTTCCCGATACACAAGATGGTCGAGGAAATCGCTCCGAATAGCTTTACGGACGAGATGGCGCGGCAAAACTTCGATAAGGCGTCGGGAACTGAGCGCTCAAAACCGACCATTGCTAAGGGGTTTGTCAAGCCCAATGGGATCCGAGGCAAAATCAAACCTAGACTCACGCAGCCTTTTGGGCCCGAGGGCTCGGCCGCGGCGGCGCTAATGAACAAGACCATTGAGGAAATGGTTTTCCGCCTCCCCTATTTCACCACAAGAAGCATCAAGGGGACTGACTACGCCGGGGTCGTCGAGTCGTCGCGCGCATAAGTGATTTTGCCAACACCTATAGATCCAGAGGCGTATCAAGCGCAGACTTTGGGAGCTTTGACAGCTCCGTCACTGACAAGAGCGCCAATGATTTGTCAAAACCGGGTCTCAAGAAAATTATAGAGCAAAGGATCATGGATCGTATCACAGATGCATTCCCAGATGCGCAAGACTTCGGAAATGTCAGCTAGAAGAGATGGCGGAAGCAGCGGAAAATACTATTTGACACAATCACGCTGCTCACTCCCATCAGGTGATGGCCTCACATCTGTGGGGAATTACATCATGAACTGGACGATGGACAAAACAATCGACGCGATTGCAGAGGCTCCTTTCACAATGTACGACTGGACGAAAATGACCCTCAAAGAGGTTGTCGAATCTCTTACGTTCATTGTCCATGACAAAGATGTGATTAAACAAGTACTCAATGTGAGAAAAAGCCAAGTACACTGCAGAAACCGTCTCGCAGGGAATCCACTGGTCAAAAGACGAAGAAGCCAGAATCTGAGTTCATCTCAGGTGAAGGGGATGACAAGATCAAGGGCTGCCAGTGGTCGTTTATCAAGAAGTTTGAGGTTTCAGACGCCAAGGATGCGAACGCTAGGAAAGTTTTGGGGGCCGTGACCTGCTTCTTGTACACTGCAACTGGCATGAATCTTGAACCACAAAACCGGTCTGGCAGGGTTGGTTCTGAAGGCTTAATAGACACAGCGGGGCGCATCGAGTTCACTAGCAGGATGTACGTCCAGATTCCAGACGGCAGAATGATGTACAGTTTCCCCAAAGCTCCGTAAAACTTTCGCAGCTGTTTCGCCTTCTGACGGTGGATTGCGCTTCTTCCTGGAGTTCGTGTTTTGAGATCCGGGGATATGCGTTTCACACAGTGTTTCAATTGTCCCTCTGGTGTTTGTTTGCTTGGTTCGTGCTTACCTTGACAAACGACGCACAGGTCGATCAGACTTGCCTATACTGACGTAGTAAAGAGGCGACTCTCCCAAACAAGAATCATGAGTTTGGGTTCAGCCCGAAACCCTAAACCCTAAATCCTGAACCCCAAACCCTTAACCCTAAACCCCCAAACCCTAAACCCTAAACCCTAAACCCTAAACCCTAAACCCTAAACCTTAAACCCTAAACCCTAATTAAGCCCGATTAGGGCCTAGGGCTTGTCGGTTCTTTCGGGCCCCCGGGTCTCTCACCCCAAAGATGCCAGAATGCGAGGTGGGTGGCAGCATATGGGCTTGCCGAGCGGCCTCCTTTCCATCGGCATCTCGGCTCGACGTGGGGTTTAGGGTTTAGGGCTTAGGGTTTAGGGTTTAGGGTTTAGGGGTCAGGTCTTGCCAGGTTTGGCGCAATTGGGGGCTTCGGGGGAGAGTTTAGAGGTTTAAGGTTCAGGAGATGAGTTCCGGAACTTTTGGAGTTCGGGGGTTCCGGGTTCAGAGGTTTAGGGCCTGGGAAGATCAGGGATGGATGGTGCGGGGGTTGGCGGTTCTAAGCCGATGCCGACGGAGCTGACAGCTCCAGAGCTGCTTGAGGATTGACGGCTTGGAACCAAGCCTAAAACCCGACAGGAAAAGCCCCTAAACCCTAAACCCTGAACCCCCCCCCCCCTCCGCCTCCCCCGGCCCGCCCTAAGCCCTGTTGTTGCCTTAGCAGGTCGCAGGTAAGTTTGGATGTTTGAGGTTAGGCGCAAGCGAGTTTGGCAACCCCCATCGAGCGGGAGGCACGTCCGGGCTCGCAAGTGAGAGCTGTGGTGAGCCAACACCTCATAGTGAGCCAAGAAGATCGTCGCAAGCGAGCTTAAACGATGACGAAAACAAGGGACCCCAAATATAAACCCCCAAACCGTAGGATTCCCTTATAACAAGGGCCCCAAGAAGGTACCCTATTTCGGAAACCCCCATCTAGTCGCAAGTGAGTAACGTGGCCTTCAGCCCCGAGGTGAAATCGCAAGAATGTGCTGCGAGCGAAACGGTAGGATCTCCAGACAGCCTCTCCTCCTGAAAACAGTAGGTCTAGCTAAGTTCAAAGTAAAATTTAATGCACTTGTCAGCTCGAACCTCTAGACCTACAAGCCTCAGCGGTGTGAGTTCAGCCCATCGCCCAGGTATGTCACCTCACTTTACTGGATGTTCTGCGAGATAGGCAAGGTGTTTCGGGTACAGGGTTGCAGGATTTTGGGTGTCTGCATAGTACTCTGGTAGTTGCAGTTCAACGTTTTTGGTTTGGGTTTTTGTGCTCAGGGTCTAGACCCGAATCTGATGCCTAGAGCCGCTACGCACCCTTCTTGACAGATAGGAGCCCCAATGCCCTAGCCACTCACACGGTGTCCGTGTGCCGTGTGCAGAGGATTGAAAATCCGCTGCACGAAGCAGCCTGATGCGTAAACCCCAAAGCTTCAACCCGAGCCCGAAGACCAATTCCAAGCTCCCTTACCCGTGGCCCTCCCCCTCCCGATCCAGAAACTTTCCTCAGCTCGTTTTGGAGCCATTGTCCCCTAAACCCTAAACCCTAAACCCTAAACCCTAAACCCTAAACCCTAAACCCTAAACCCCAAACTCTAAACCCTAAACCCCAAACCCCAAACCCCAAACCCCAAACCCCAAACCCCAAACCCCAAACCCCAAACCCCAAACCCCAAACCCCAAACCCCAAACCCTAAACCCTAACTAAACCCTAAACACTAAACCCTGAACCCTGAACCCTAAACCCTAAACCCTAAACCCTAGACCGGTTCCAGCTCTTGAATTTCAACTGTCCACTGGCCTTCAGGCCCCGCAAGTAACCCTCAAGCGACCCCCCCCCACCCCCGACCCCCGACCCCCGCTGCCCGCTGCCCGCTGCCCGCCCCCCGCCCACTGTCCGTCTCCTGGTTGTGGGTTTGGGGAGTGGGGAATCCTATTATGGTTGACAGGCAGCAAAACGGCTTCTAGTAGTGTTGAGGGTTGAGGGGCTTAAAGCAGCCTAAAACTTACGGCGCCGAGTAGTTTTTGTGGTTGTACGTTAGGGTTTAAGAGTTTTACCCTGGCAGGCTTTGGTGTGACGGAAATTCATCCAACAACCACGTTGGAAATCGAATTCGGCATTGCGGTCGCGGTGGTGGGGCTCGCAATTTTCTCCTTGCTCCCGGGCTCAGGAACCCCTGAGCCCTGTAGAGGCCAAAGCCGAAACCCTAAACCCGAAGGTTTGAAACCTTAAGCCCTAAACCCCTACACCAAAACCGCCCTTCGCCTGGTGTCCGAGCGGCGACAACCTCAGGTCTTTAGTCTCATGAAGCCCCAAGCCCTGGGCCCTAAGCCTTAAGCCCCGAAGCAACAAGCTTTCAGGGTTTAGGGTTTAAGGTTCAGGAAATGAAGGTACTCTAAACCCTGAACCCTAAGACTTGGAAGCCCGAATCCCCAGGTCCTGAGGGCAGCCCTTTCCTGCAGTAAACCCGAGGGTCGATCATGGGTCAAATTTCAAATGCTGGTAGTGGTATGGGTAGCCATTCTAGGGTTAGGGTTCGGGTAGGCCCCAAACCCAAGCCAAACTCTGGAAAAGGCACTTTATCATGCTACGAAAGGCTACCTCTGAGCCTTCAGGGAGGGTTTGAGCAAATCACTCTTCCAATCTTCTAAGAAATCATTCGTCTCCTATTCTTTGCCATATATCGAATTCGGAGTTTCTTGGTCACAAAGTGCCTCAAAGTGCAGGTTTTGAGAACTTGCGGAGAAGAGACGTTGCAGCTTATGAAAGCTGATCTCCTTTTTTTTTTCCTAAGGCCTGTAATCCCAAAGCGCCCAACTCCCGTTCCTGGGGGCCTCCCATCCCTCATTGAGGCTTCTTGGCACCATTACCACCAACATCTCCCTCCTGAGCAAGTCATCTGAAGATCATCGGCATGAGCTACCCGGCTTGTAAGTACACAGTTTAGGGTTTAGGGTTTAGGGTTTAGGGTTTAGGGTTTAGGGTTTAGGGTTTAGGGTTTAGGGTTTAGGGTTTAGGGTGTGTGCCACAGGCTTGCTTGTTCGGATTCTCTACAAGCAGCAATCAACACCCCACGACCCCAGAGCCCTGCGGCATCCAAATGCTAGCAGAATCAGCAGCTAAGCCACAGAGAGACTCTCCAAGCTCCCAAGACAAAGACAGAGAGAAATTGTCTGACTACTGTAGGTGTCGGAATAGTTACTACCATTATTCCCTTATGGTTCCTATGTAATTAAATGACGCTCCAATCCTAAGACAATGTCAACTCAGCATGGGTCCCTCGGGGAGGGTTGAAACCCCAAGCTTCCCGTAATATAGGGGCCTTAATAGTTAGAATAGGGTTTTGGGGGGTTATTCTTGTATACTTATAAAGGGACCATAAGGGAACATTATTATTGAGACTTATATAGTGACCATAAGGGAACATTATTAGTGATTATTCCGACCCCCTAGTCATTCTGCGCGACGCTTAAATCCCTTGGCAGTTCAGGGCTTCCGCAGGCTGGCCGCCCGACCAGAGGGCCCTAGGGTTTAGGGTTTAGGGTTTAGGGTTTAGGGTTTAGGGTTTAGGGTTTAGGGACAACTCCTTTCCCGGGATCCCCTTGCAACACTACCCCCCCCCAGAAGCCCCGCACCATCAGCCAAGGTTCAGACGGGTGAGGATGTTCTTGGCGCATTATCATGTGGATCGAGGCCTGCGAACGCGCATCATTCATTTTCTGGAGGGTGCCTATGCCCTCAATCAGCAAGGGCGGCCAGGGGCGGGTGCTCCCTTGCTCAGCTTGCTGTCCAAGCCTTTACAGCACGAACTGCAGTTCGCCCGCCACGAGGCACGGTTGAAAGGGAGGTCCATAAACCCGAAAACCCCTCAAACGCCCCAGCCACCGAAACCCTAGGCCCTAAGCCCTGAAGGCCTTAGGCCCTTAGGCCACAGGTGTGCTGAACCATGTAATCTCCCTTAAAGAACCCTAAAGCCAGGCGAGCTTGAAAGAACTCGGCTTCTGTGAACACTTGCTTCATGCCACGGGATTCGTCGCCTCGGAGCTGGACATGTTGCAGCACTTCGCCACCTACGCCGTTTCACAGATCACCATGGCAGCTGGGGACTCTGTCTTTGAGGCCAGCTCCATGGGGGGTGTGATTGATCTGAAGCCCAAAAGCTTGTTATTACTAAGGGTCCCTTTAGGAGAATACCAGAATACCCCCCCCCCCCAAGATGTTCTAAGAATTATGAAGGCCCCTGTACTACGCGGTTCCCCGATTGGGGGGGGTGTCTTGCTGCTTGTACCAAGGCCGGCACCGTCGCACACAGCGCCTACTTCATCGACTCCACCGGTCAAATTTTCTACAGGATTGGCCAGGGCGGTGCAGAAATGGTGACGTGATCTGTGCTGAGTAGCGTTTTCGTTGAGGTGCTGGTACACAACCCTACCCTCAGGCTCCAAGAAGGGTATAGGCACATTAGCACCTCAATTGGGGCATGGCTGACTTCTCAATGCACTCTTGCCATCCCCTATCTCGACCAAGACCTTTCGACTAGGGAGGTTGCGTTTGGGAGGACCGTCGTTTAGGATCATGCTTAGATACATCGTCGTCGGTGCGAAGCAGTGAAGTTCTAAGTCCAGCTACCCAGCATCATTCTTCTTAAGCACAGCCTGATGTTTGCGAGGAGCACTGTGGCTGCTGGCACAGACACTCCCACAGTGCCCTCCAAACCCCATCGACCCCATCACAAAGGGGATCCCCTGAAGGGTTCCCCAAAATGACCCAACAGTAGTATAGAGCAGGGCACACTATTTGGGGGCTCTACTTTTGGGATCCTCCTCCATGGGTCTGGGTATATATTAGCTGGAATCGCTCCCAGCAAGTCCCTTGCCGATGGAAATCCGCTCGAGGTTGAGTGCACGGGTGCTGGTCAATGAGGTGCTGATGCTAGCTGAGGTGGATGACGCCGGTCCTGCCCACCCACCTCCAGCCAAGAAAGATCCTTCTCTGATCGAAGTGCCCCTGTCTCCCAACACGCGCGCTGCGTCTGATGTTCAGCTTCCCGGAAGTCGTTTGCCAGAGGGAATCTGAGGAGGTAGCTGACCATGTGGTTGCAGGGCTCGATCACCTGGTCCTGCATCTGCACCTCAATCTAGCACCTCATCTCTGCTCTGCCTTGCTCCCAACTCGGTCCTTTCCCTCCGAAGTGCTTCCACCTGCTCCCTCAACGTGCTTTGCTCTGCTGTTTCCTGCGTCAGGGCCCGCAACTGGTGCTGCAAGGGGCCTCTCTTTCCATCTACACTTGCTGCCTTGAGAGCAGGGGTACCGGCTCCGGATACTGTCATCCAGGAGGCTCCTGGTGGCGTCTCCCAGAGAAGTTCAAAGCCCTCTATGCCACTTCTTCTCAATGCTGCTGTGTCATGCTGCGGGTCCTGGTCTGTTGTCCATCTTGCCGATGATCACCATCATTGATATGTGTATTACCCTGTAGCCCTCCGCCAGCCGTCGTCGCAGTCGTACGCAGAAAATCAGTCAAGCGGGCCACCCACAGAAAGGCCGGCGCTGTTCCCATCTCAGAGCTGTCGGGCGACATCGTACACTCCATCTCCAGAGTTCGGGATGGGGTAGTCCGTGCCTGTGACCACGTTGTTCAACATGGCGAGTCGCAGCAGTCGATGCAGACCTTTCCGTAGTCCTTCCTCCATCTCCCTGCTGCGGCACACCAAGGTCGACCTCCTTTGCTGGAAGTGGACCTCTCGCATGCATCGCTCCCGTGCAAACCATGCGGAACGCACACCATTCAACAAACCAGCACCTTCCTGTCCAGTGTCCACAGCCCCGCACCGAGGGCCTACTTCTTCACCTTCCAGGATTTGCGGAGCTGTGCGTTGGGCTGGGTTCTCATGAGAAGCAGAGAGCAGCCCCGTCTTCATAACGTAGGTTCTCACGCATGCACTCCCTGCCATTCTCTGGCTCCACTAAGAGGATCTGAACACAAGGTCGGGGACTGCGCCAAACCCTTAGCCCTAAACCCCAAACCCCAGGTCACGGGACCTCGTTGGTTGAGCGAGATGACGCTGTGGACACCATGGCTACACCTTGGCGAGCTGACAACTAAAGAGGCTCGGGTCGGAGGGAGTGTGTCAGGATTCTGGGTTCACGAGGTGTGGACTAGCAGGCCCTCAACAGCCAGAAGCCCCTAGAGTCGGAACATGACCCGCGGCAAGTCATGTCGTTTTGGTTTCAACTCTTTAACCGAAACGCCTTAACAGCACATCTCGTGATTCCCCAATGGGCTGCACTTTGTGACTCCAAGGGCCTATGATGCCATCTAGCCGGGGGGTGAGGGGTCAGAGACGCTCACCGGGCTTTTTCAACGGTTATACAACATCGTTTAACTGATCGTTTATATCGCGTTTATATCATGCTTTTGCAGAGTGGGCCAATGGTCAGGGGCGCCCCACTACAGATGACTTGATATGGAGCTCAACAGCAGGCAGTAGCCTAGTTGACTTGTCCAGCTAGAACCCTACAGTTTTGGCAGCAGAAGTCATTGTTAATGGCTGATTATCTAGCATACTAACTTGAAATCGGGGTTGTCTTGGGCTATCTGAAGCTCAATACTTTTCCCAGTACGAAACCGCACATAAGCCAAGAGGGGTCGCACACGCACGTAATGTGGGGGCCTTATGGGTTAGAATGGGGTTTTGTGGGTTATTCTAGTATAATTATAAAGGGACCACCAAGGCATGTGCACACACTCCAGGCTGAATTCTGAACCAAATCTGAACCCTAAACCCTAAACCTTAAACCCTAAACCCTAAACCCTAAACCCTAAACCCTAAACCTTAAACCCTAAACCCTAAACCCTAAACTCTAAACCCTAAACCCTAAAACCCTAAAACCCTAAAACCCTAAAACCCTAAAACCCTAAAACCCTAAAACCCTAAAACCCTAAAACCCTAAAACCCTAAAACCCTAAAACCCTAAAACCCTAAAACCCTAAACCCTAAAACCCTAAACCCTAAACCCTAAACCTGCTGCTCTCAGGTGTCCAGCATTGTGAGCTTGCGCCAGAAGGAGCCTCATCTACGCATCGGGTCATCCCAGAAAACACGGTGGTTGTTCTAGATTCAGGTTGCCTTAGGTTGCCTGTTGCTAAGGCGTTCCCCACTTCAAATAAGGTAAGCAAGGGTCCTATCTTGCTCTTACTTCTTGCAAGCCCTGAACCTTCAAGTTCTCTTAGTTTTGAGAAGATAGTCAAGACAACCCTGAACCCCAAACCCTAAATCCGGTGCGATCCCGACAGCTTTAAAGTCTAGGGTTTAGGGTTTAGGGTATAGGGTTTGGGGTTTCGGACAATCCTAGAGGCCTTCAACTCTAGTTTCGCACCCTAAACCCTAAACCCTAAACCCTAAACCCTAAACCCTAAACCCTAAACCCTAAACCCTAAACCCTAAACCCTAAACCCTAAACCCTAAACCCTAAACCCTGGGCAAAATAGGACTTCTTGGAGTGCCTACGCCGCTCTTTTGATTGGTTTCAGCTGGCGCAGACCTACGCCCGGGACTACCTCAAGGCCCCCGGATTGTTGAAGAGAGTTTTTTGCGTGCGACAAAAAATAGGACCTTTCGGGTCTGGAGTCTAGCAGTTTAGGGGGTATTCGAATTAGGGCTTGTCTTGGGGCAGTTGAAAATTGGAGTGCGGGGGTGAGGGTTTTAAAGGTCTTAGCTGCGGCAGTGTAAGGCTTCGCAACCTAAGCACGCAGGAAACCCATGACTCGAACACCCGTAGGGTTCCGAAACCCTCAACCCTAAACCTTAAACCCTAAACGCTAATCCCAAAACCCTAAACCCTAAACCCTAAACCCTAAACCCTAAACCCCAAACCCTAAACCCTACTTAGGGATTCGGGGGGCAGAGCTGGAGGCTTAGGACGGTGTAGGGTTCAACCCAACACCTTCGAACCTGGTATGGTAACGACCTTGGGGTCTTTTTACCCTCTGGAGTTTAGGGTCTAGGGTTATACCACGTAAAAAAGAAATTAAGAGAGTATGGTAAAGTCCTTCCTTCCATTCTCCGTTTATAGGTCAAGGGGTATGGGTTTGGGGGTCCGTTGAATTTGTTCTTGAATTTGGGCTTGGGCCTTAGGATCCACCTAGTCTGGGTTGATTGGCCCATGAAATCACAGCTTTTCTAGACTTGGTAGCCCATTGGTACCCTTGACCCTTTATTCTGGTGAGGGGCTCCCTTCTACAGTAGCCAACCCCCAAAAGGGTGCCCTTATTATACGATGGTTTAGGGTTTCGGGTTTCGGGTTTCGGGTTTAGGTACTGGGATCCCGTTATATTGAGGACCCCAATAAGGGACTCCCTATTTTCGGAAAAAGAACAAAAACCGTACAAAGATGCATCCGAAGCCCTTATACGGCGTTAAAGACACGAAGCACGAGAGTTGTTGGCGCGCGAGGTAATGAGTCAGTATGCTGCCGTCACCGACCTATGGGTGTGGCAAGTTGAGCCAGATCCTGGTAACTTCCTCAGAAATGGGTCCCGGTCCCGTACTACGCGAAAGTCTGGGACTTTGGCTCCTCGGCAAGGAAATGAGGCCTCAGTCTTTTTCGTGTTCAGGGTTCTGGAGTTCGTGAGGCCCTGCAAACTCTAAAGATCCGGTAAGACGACATGACTTGTGAGCATGAACATGAAGAAGTGTTCAAAGTGAAAAGCTTGAACTTGTTCTAAGGCCTTTGGGGCTGTGGGGTGTAGCGTTGGGGTGTCCGTTCGAGGGCTCAGGGGTATACACCTGCCAGAATGAAGGTGCAGTCCTCCGCAACGATGGCTCGAAAGCTGATGGGACATGTTTTTGCGGCTAACGCCGGCGAGGACTTCGCCCAAGTGGTGCCGCACGATACCTGAGCTTGGCTCAGATGAGACAGGTACCCGAAATCCTAAACCCTGTATACCCGAAACCTGCACCCAAAAGCCTTGAAAAGCTCAGCCAGTTCCTCAGAGCTGAACCTACGCAGCGGGTAGAGGCTGCGGTAGGGGCTCAAGGGGCTTAGGGTATAAGGATGCCTATGTACATGGGTTGAAAAGGCTGAGGGTTTAGGGTTTAGGGTTTAGGGTTAAATGTCAGGAAGCATAGGCTCCTCACACGAGAAACTTTGGGGAGGTTGGTGAGAGGATTGCTGTTGGAGCTTCTGCCGCTCTCAGCGTGCAGCAAGCACTAAATCCTCAAGTTGCACACGCCCTGTGCATGGGCATTGCAGCGGCTGTCATCCGAGAAGTGCAACATATGGGCAAATGATATATGTTATATGTTCAATGGCATATGTTTTCTGTTGCATGCTATAAGTTCTGTATGATACATATTGTAAGCTATACATATGCGTATTGTCTTACAGAAAAGAGTCCGACAAGGGACAGCATTCTGGATCACTGCCCATGTGGTAACTTCTGCGCGATGCAGGCCCCTGGGCCCAAAGAAGTCGACCCACAGGTTGCGGGTTTAGGGTTTAGGGTGTAGGGTGTAGGGTTTAGGGGGTTCAGTCGTGACTGTCCATGAATACCCGACCTGTCTCACTTTGGGCTGCTGGGAGTGAACTGCCGGCGGTCTGAGTGCCCTCAGACCAGCACAGGACCAAGAGCCGCTGTACTTGGAGGTAGGACCTAGGGGACTTAGTAGACTTAGGGGACTTAGGGGACTTAGGGGGACTTAGGGGACTTAGGGGACTTAGGGGACTTAGACTTAGGGGACTTAGGGGACTTAGACTTAGGGGACTTAGGGGACTTAGACTTAGGGGACTTAGGGGACTTAGACTTAGGGGACTTAGGGGACTTAGGGGGACTTAGGGGACTTAGGGGACTTAGGGGACTTAGGGGACTTAGGGGACTTAGGGGACTTAGGGGACTTAGGGGCTTATAAGTACAGATAGAATTGGGGTTATATGTACAGATAGAATTGGGGTTAGAAGTACAGATAGAATTGGGGTTACAAGTACCCTGAACCTCCAAATACTTGGAAACAATAGTCTGGCAACTGTTTGATGGTAACCCCTTCCCCCTTTCACTAAGTTGAAACGTACCCCAAGTAGTGAAAACCCCGCCCCCCGTGTAATAGGGGGAAGGGATTAAGCGGCGCCCCGCTCGCAAGGCGTCCACAGAGTGGGCATGCGAGTGGATTGGCGCTGGCGGGACTTTGTCACTTCAGATCAGGGAAGTTCACCCCACTAAGCACTGGGAGGATCCAGGAGACCACGTAGCAGCTGAGTGAGCACACTTTACACTTTTTGGGATACTTTAACCCCCCTATAGAGCTGAAAGTGTACACTTTTTTGGGGCTTATGAACTCAGCAACTAAGCCCAAGTAAGGGCATTTATTGGTTGGTCAGTCAGAGGAGCCTTTCGAATTCCAGTCAAGATCCAGGTTCTAGATCCTCCCGGGGCTTTTGGGTGTTGTCTTGTGTCTGCTGAACGATGTGGACTAAAGCAATTGCCGTTTCAAGAACAGGGTGGGTTGAGAGAATCTCGCCGTTGGGTTGAGGATCCTTACCCACCTTGCAGCAATGTGGGTGGTCCGATACTACCTGTCTTCGACCCGCTCCCCCCATATGTATGGGGGGGTACTGACGGTGCGCAGGCGGCGTAGCTGAGGACCCCACGACAACTCATCTTGCCAACTTTCCCAGAAGTCCAATCGGCGTTTTGGGGGTTTAGGATACCAGAAAAAGGAACCTAGGGTTTGCACGCGGACCTGATGGCAAAATTTCTGGGAAGCAGGAATTCGTGATGTCTTCATGGCGTCTTTCCTCAAAGCAAGGTACCCTTCGGGTACCCTAAGTTTGGAAAGTGCCCGTTTGATTTTCGATGGCTGCTATTGGGGTCAGTTCTTCCTCTCCTCAGTGTCTCAGGTTCGCCTTGCTAAACTCCACCACGACAAAAAGCACCTTGTTATTGGCAATGCTTTCTTGGCTGCCTGAACTGACTGGGGCCATGAACCCTGTGTTGTTTCTTCTATTTCGACGTCGCTGCAAACAGAAAAGAGCCGGTCTTGATGCGCTGCTCCACTCGTTTTGGCCTAAACGATCTTTTTACCGGGCTTCCGTTGGATGCGTTTCTTCAGAGCTTCGAAACTTCCACATACACAAACATATATATATATATACAGACATAATATACATACATATATATATATATATATATATATATATATATATACGAATATATTATATTATATCATATTATATTATATTATATTATATTATATTATATTATATTATATTATATTATATGCAGTGTACAAGGCAGGCAACATAAAAGGGTTCTTGAATGCCAAGCTTCCCCGCCAAGCCTATGCTAGTAAGGTCCTGAAGAGTGCAGGTTTATCCTTTCGTGTTTAAGCGTGTTTGTTGAGGTTTATCAAGCGGGTGTAGGATTTAGGGTTTAGGGTTTAGGCTTTAGGGTTCCTTTACTCCCTAATGCTCAAAGACAGGCTCCCAAAGCATCCAAGTTTCCAAGTTTTCCTAGCGAGGTTACCCTGGCACTTCCCTTGTTCACCTTCCTCCCTTCATGAACCTGTGATAAACCGTGTTTCCTACTTGAGAAGTATGGGTAGTTATAAGTACAACCAGAAGAGTAAGGCAAAGGTATGCGATCACTTGAACTAGGGTAGCTACAGCCCAAAACCCGCAACTCTGGACCCAGCAAACGGATGAGAGGCTTCAAACGCAGAACCAAGGGGTTTCAGGTTGTGGTCTAGGCTGAGTGATGGCAGGGTTAGGTGTCTTTATATAGGTGGGTTCCAGGGTTCAGTCTTTGGGGTCAGCCGCAGATGATTCTAGTATCCTGGCAGGAATTCAAGGCCAAGCGAGCCGAGAAACAAAGGCCTGTGTTGCTGCTGGCTGTTGCTAAGCTTACAGGAAAAAGACAGCTCTCTAAAATTAGTATACTTCTTACTGCTTTTTGTAGTTAATTTTGTTGCTATTACAATCATTATTTGTTCTATTATTGTTATTGTTACTCTTAACTATGGTTGATTCTTCTTATTATTGTCATGATTACTATTTTTTATTATAACTATTGCTAATCATTATTATTGACGATTGGTAGTTGTTATTAACTCTGCCTTGTAACACCCCTATGCTTCGAACCTACATCCAAGCAGGGAGCGATGGCTTCGGGGTTAAGGGCTAGAGAAGGCTCTGATATTCTAAGTCGTGAGGAGCCTACCTTCCACATTTCCGTATCCTAGCCGCAGAAGAGGCCTAATCCGTAAACCCGAAGTTTCCAAACCGCATCCCAGAACCCTCGACCTCTTTGGGGGGGGGGGGGGGGGGGGGGGTTCTTAAGGTTTTGGGAATGTAAACCACCCAAGCTACCCATCCGAAATGCACACCTAGGTTGGGCTCTTGGTGTTTAGGGCTAAAGGCCTCGTAGCACCATGCCCTGTCTAAGCGCCCCTTTACTGGGGCTGAAGGCTGGGGTTTCGGGTCTAGGGATGTTTCGGGTTTAGGGTTCAGGGTTTCGTGGGGGCAGAGAGGCGCGGATGTTGGATGTTGGGGTAGCTTCGCGCACCACATGTTTCCAGCGAGGAAGCCTCGACTATGGGATGTGGACTCTGAGGGTGAAGAGGCTGGGGAATGACGAGGAGTTGTTAGCGGAGGGCAAGGATGAATGCGCCTGCAACATGATCCCTAAACCCTAAAACCTAAACCCTTATAACACCTGAATTCAACCTTCAAGGCCTTCAACCCTTCAGCCCTCACCTGCAGCTGGGGCCTTTTGATCTTACATCGGGAACTTGTGGAGGTTCTGCTCCAAGACCAGACCACGTAGCTTGTCGAGTGGGTAACGTGTAGCCAGTTTATCATGGCTTCCCCGACTACCCCCCTCTATACTACCCCTAGGTTCCCCCATAATTCCGGCTATTTAGGGATAATTGAGCCTAATCAAGGTTATTTTAGGGGGGAAACTAGGGTAGTAGGGAAGCCCATGGGTTTAGGGTTCAGGGCTCTGAGTTCAGGGGGTGGTACGAGTAAAAGCAACCCCGAACCTTTCTGGGGTGCGTGATCTCTACATACCTGCGGTCTTTCACGGCGTAGGTGGCTGGACAGGCAAGAACGGTCTTGAAAAGTTGTGGGTTTCAAACCTTGGGTGTCGAAACTAGTTGAGATTTTCTGGTTTGAGTTGCATGAGGACTTGCTGCTTCCCTGGCCTCCGTTGCTCAAGCTGCAGTGCTTGTAGGGTTTAGGGTTCATACTTGAAGCATACTTGGGCTACTAGTACAAATTAACCCAACTAAGGTTATGACACTCGAAAACCAGCAGCCTGCCACTCCGTGTCCTTTAAGGTGATCTAAGCTAAGGACCTTTTGCCTAGTTGCATGGAATAAACAATGCAAAAAGCCAATGCATACACATCCAGTGAAAAAAGCAGCGCACTGGTTCTCGGACCACCAAGACTGGAATGTTTTGGGATAGTTGCAAGCAGGGTTATGGGGTTATAGGTTCTTTCCTTCACCGGCTACAGCAGAGGTTACACCCCAAATCCCACAACCCAGGCGTGTGCTACTGTACCCATGTCGAGGTCACGGGCCGAGTCAAGGCTCAGGGTCTTAAGATATGTTTTTTCTTGGCCTTTGCGTAAACGTTCGTAGGGAACGCCCTAGACTCGACTTCAAAAGCCCTAAACCCTACACAGCAGCGAGATGGCTGGAAGATGGTCAGCCCCAGCAGAGGTCGGGCGTTTGGACTCGGTGGTCGCGGTGCGGCAAGCCAGGCTTTCCCTGGACGGTGCCAGGGTCGGCTTTCGCACCCAGGGCGTCCAGCTTCGCGCAGGCGTCACCTCGGTGATTCTGACGGATGATGTACCAACAGGGAGGGCATTCTCCCAAGAGAACCTGCAAATCGAGCCGAGCAATGTGCAGACGTGGACCGCCACGTCTGCTCTCATCATTGCCGAGGTCGTAGGAACCGGAGTTCTTGCGCTTGGCGGTCAAATGGCAACTGTCGGCTTGGTTTTTGGCTTGGCTGTGCTAGTGGCATGCTACCCGCTCAACCTTTTCACTGCTCTGCTTCTGTGGCAGGTGCACGAAAAGCTTCCCCATGTGGTTACACTTGGTGATGCACTGGCAGTTCTGGTGGGTCCCCGAACTGGAAGGTACGGCTACTTTGTTCTGTACACGTACATCTTCATGACCATGGCCAACTACATGATTGTCCTTGGAGATGCAGTGAGGTCTTGCTTGTATGCAGTAGAAGTTTCTCGACCAACAGCATGTTTTCTTGGCGCCCTGCTTCTCCTGCCTCTGAACCAGTTTCGAACCCTATCCGGTCTCTCCATACTGAGCCTGATATCCTTCGCCACCGTGTTGGCAACCTTGGTGTTCTGCCTTTGGACCTTGCTGACGACACCAACATGTGAGGAGGGAGGTGAAGGAGGCGACAGCTACACGCAGTACAGCTCGGCCATCTCGGGCTTTGTTTTTGCATTCGCAGGGCAGCATATTATGCTGGAAATGCAAGTTGAGATGAAGGAGCCCGCCGACTTTCCCAAAGCAGTCTGTTTGGCTTTCTCTGTTCTTTTTGTTGTCTACATGGTGGTCTGTATACTTGCATTCCGCGCCTGTGCGGAGAACACTCCTGGCAACATCCTGCTGGTCCTACCCTCTGATTGGCGGAAAGGCACCTGCGGTGCCTTGATGGTCATTCACCTACTTGTAACCTACACCATATCGCAGCAGGTGCTCAACAGAGCTGTCTGCCTGTTCCTTATGCCCTCGGCACTGGGCGTGGGGGGCTCTGCCCGAGCAAAATGGTTTGGGATTACAACCGCCTTCATGATGGCGTGCTGCCTAGTGGCTAACTTGGTTCCGCTCTTCCAGGACTTCGTGAACTTGACAGGTGCTCTGCTTTCGACGCAGTGTGTCTTCATCTTGCCTGGAGTATTATCAGCCGTTTCTCAGGAGAGGCAATGGCTACGTGCATGCTCATGGTGCACCGTAGTCTTTGGACTCTACTTGGCTGTTTCGGGCACAATCTGCAGCACTGCGGTGATTCTGCGCAAGCTTGCCTCTCCGGCAGAGGATTTGGTCTTAGGGTTCAGGTTTTAGGGATGTCCGACCGACCTTTGGTTTTGAAACGGCGTGTCCGATTTTGCGAAGTCAAGCAGCGCAGACTGACCAACCGTCGGGGTGCTTTTATGCTGAAAACGCTAAGCCGCGTGCATGGTTGCTACTGTAGACTGCCCACGACGGGGAGCGTGTAGAGCTTCAGGGGTTTGAGGGCTTTGAGGGTTTGAGGTCTAGGGCTTCGGGGCTACGAGCTTAGTTAGAGGCTTTCAAGCATTGTTTCAAGCATTGCCAGGCAGTTGGCTTCTGTATATGGGAGATTCTCTAATGGACCCTGCTTGGGTACCCTAAACAAAGGCTCCACATTAGAATGGGAACCCCAAAACCCGACCCCAATTTGGGGGTTAACGTCTCCATGCGCCAGCGATAAAGTCGCACTACCCCGACTGTCCGGCCTACTGTGAGTCTTGAGTTGCATGTCCGTGCCTCCTTCTTCGTTTCATTGAAGGTCGTCGGCTTGTTTTGACCCAGGCCCTACACATCCCTACGCCCTCGACCGGATGAAGCT